AGGCCCGGCACACCCCTGAGCCTCGCGCCAATCTGGGCTTGCATTCCGTCAACGTTGTGGAGTTCGTTCGCCTGGCGTTCTTGCGGTGTGGTCTTCGCCCCTGTCCGAACCCATTCCCAACCCCGTCCGCCACTCTTCCTCTCCAATCACGACCCCGACCCGGTCCCCAGGGCGTCAGCGCCCTCGAAGCGATCCGGTTCGCCGTCCTCGCGTCTCTGTGGAAACCTCAACAAACCGACCCATGAACGCCCAGCTCTGCCTTCTCGATCCGGCCATCAGACGAAGCACGCGCCCAATACCGAGTCCCTTTACCGCCAAAAGCCCAGCCCACCGCTGCGTGACAGCACACATGCGCTATTCCACATGCAGGTCATCTTCAACGAACGACTCCGACAGAGGAAGTGTGCAGCACGCAGAGAATTCCGCAGGGCGCACGACAGAGAGTCAGAAAACGAGTGGCTGACCGGTCCCACGATGTCCACCGCTCATTGCGCACCCCAGGCGTTTGCGTCCGTTGCCCGGGTCGCCGACGAGTGAACCAACCGACCGCCTATTAAAGACGTGCAGGTGCCCGCATCTCTTGTTGTTTCTTCTCTTTTTTGAAGACACCCTCTTCCGAGGATCAACCTCGAGAAACCCACCCAACGACATCCAACATGGCCCAGGCCTCGCCCTCGTGGCAGAGGCTGATGGGGCTCCTGTCGGTGCTGCTGGCCATGCTCCTCGGTCTCTCAACCGAGAAGCAGGGTGCCGCCGCCGCCGGGTGCCCCGCCGAGATTGTCTCGGCACCGGACAACACCTGGTCCGTCGACTTTGACAACAGGACCGACGTCTCTGAGAGTGCGTTTTCCCTCCTCCGTTTCAACATCCTGACACCATCTTGCTAACATCTTTCCAGCCCAGAGAGAGAGCTCGTACGTCGAGAGCCTGAGGGAGGAGTTCGAGAAGCTCGAGGCGACCGGCCTTGCCGGCACGGGCGCCGAATCCAGCTTCGAAGACTTCACCGTCAAGATCCCGGCCTCCTGCCTCAACGGCCCCGCTGCCAAGAACAAGCACGCTCCGCTCGAGCTCCCCGTCAGTCTCGCCAGTCTGCATCTGCGGACCGTCCAGACGTGGGCCAGCTACATGTAACCACGGCGGCGGTTTGCGCAAACCACCAAACCGCCGACACGCGAAGATCAAAATATCATTGCCGTGTTGGAATTTCCATAAAGAAGAGAAACATCCGACACACCTAACTACTTATCACGTCGGGGTGTGCTGAGTGTAACAACTTGAACAAGTTACGCTGAGCAAGTCCCCGAGCCCGGCCGCAATTGACGCGGTCTCACTCACTTCAACGACATTTACGACATGAAACAATCAACGAAACGAAATGAACAACCAAAAAAATGATGAAAACGGAAACGAAAGTCCTCTCGTCTCACGGAGACTGAGAAGTACGATGAAACGACTCTTCTATGTCTACGATACCTACTTCTTTCCTCTTCAATGAGGTTACGGCCACTTGGCCCTTTGAATACAAATCTCATATGTCCTTCTTAAAGAATACTTTGCGCCCTTGAAACTGTGATGCCTTGTCTTCTGTGAACCCTCTTTGGATCGATCCATTAAGCCTGTGACATGTAGAATGTTGAGCTTGGTCAGCAGGATGCCGTACTCGGGGCTCATGATGATCGCATCTCACCATGTCGTTGTCTGATGGTTTGCTGAGGCAGCCGCATTCTTGTGAACACTGGTGCCCACGCGGCTTACTACTCATATCTATCTTGCATAAAGACTATGCAATGTTTGCCGTCCATTGGTATTACCTATGCTAAACAACGTAGCAAAGCTTGTACGAACTCAGACTAAGACCTCCGTGGTTTCCGGCTGAAATCTAGAAGGTCTCCTGGGCAAGGTTGACCCCCGCCCGTGGGGATCATATAATTGTAGAAGTCAACCATTGGAACCATTCCTCGTGGTTGACTTGCCTTTCCGTGTCTATTTCGGCAACTTGGGAAACTTAAACTTTCTGTCTTAATCAAGAGTTACCCACATGGCGAAGATTATCGTTTTACGGGCGTCATCAGCAGTCCGTCACATCGAGTCAGTGAACAGTGCCGGAATCCCATTATAGTCTCATACAAAATTGAATTACCAGAAAATAAGAAGCGGCTGTGTAACCGTTTCAGCTTTCTTTAGGTTTCCTGCGCTCTTACCCAGGAACTTTGACCGTTATCTTCATTCGTTATTCCAACATCTAGGCTTTGCAATCAATTTGCTCATCCACTTCAGAAATGCATTTTGCAAACGTGGCTGCTTTTGTGGTGCTCTTGGCGGCACCACTCGTGTCTGCTGATAATTGCCAAGATCGGATCTTCCCCTGCGTAAGTGAAATAGTAAATCTTGCTCACCCAACGACTAACGAGTGCCGTCCAGTCCCCTCTATCTGCATGTAACAACCTCTTGAGTGGAAAACAGATCTGTGCTACAACTGAGAGAGTCGATGGTGGTTGTCTCCAAACTATCACAGGTGTCAACGAAGGCGCCGTTCGTGTACGTTTAGCTATGCGCTTCTCATTCTGGCCGTCCGCTAACTTCCCGAATAAGTGTCACTGCTGCCCCAAATAAGGCATTTCTGCAGGCGATCTTCGTCTTCATGAGCATTGAGTGGGAACAGTTGAGCTTTGGGGTCTTATGGCTGCGCAGCAGATGGACGTCAGTCCTCCCAGGACTCATATGGGGACGTTGTAGCATGCAAGCGGGCCAACCTATACCCATAGAACATTGCATATTAGAAATGTGTCTTATTCAACTGTCTAGTTGAGCTTTACTTCAACATAATCTCTTTCCAAACCGGACCCGGCGCAAAGCTTGTCCCAATGGCCCATTCTCGCCCGATTCCGCGCCTTTCCGCGTAATCTCCATCCCGCTTGACTAGTATGACATTGCAATCGTACTCAGACTGACGGGTTTGAGAATGAGGAGTTGACACGGCTTCTAAAAGAAGAAGTATCTCGTATGGCCCTTCATGTTCAAAGCTAGGCATCTCCTCGATGCTGTCCACCGCCAGTTCCCCACAACTCTGGCCATCCACCCCGCGAAGATCTTCCTCAGACCAGGAAACACCTCTTGAGAATTCCAGAGAGATGCCAGCGTCCAGAATTGCAACACAGGGTATCCGGGGGTTGTAGTCGGCGATAAGGATGGCGTAGTGCGAAAGACGTCTGAGCCACTAGGGAGCCGGCTTTTGAAGCGCTCCCGATAGCGAGGTCCGCTTGGCGAGTTGCGCACAGGATCAGTGAGGAGTCTCAACTCCCCGTCTACTCCTCTTTCATACCACAGTATCCAGCACTTTTGCTTAAGCTAGTGATGAAGTTGGTAAAAAACATGTCCTTGGCTCGGACGAACGCGACTAGCACCCACCCAGCCCGACCACGACCAGCTGGGAAACCCTTCCCGGCGCCTCCTGGCAGTCATCGAGGTGGAGCCGGCTCCGAAAAGTAAGAAGAAGTCAATGGCCTGAACTGGAGTACCTTCGATGAACCGGATGTTCCATTTCTCTGTTGCTCGGCGCATGCGGCATAATCCCCTCGACGGCTCGCAGGACGTCTCTTTGGTCCGTGAGAGCGCGGGCAGAATAGCGGCTGACTATATCTTCCCAGTCGCGCACTGGATTCTTGAGCCGGAACGCTTGTGGCGGAGACCATGGCTCCTCCCACTCGTGTCTCTTCTTGGCGACTGGCTGGTCCAAGCATGCCTCGCCGAACTCGTCGCTCCCACAGCGAAAGAAAACTTTGTTGTCGAATGGTATCCAGGATCGTGAGCGACAGTCTGTCGCGTATTTGGGATACCGAGCCAGGTTGCCGCAGTCGTCCAAGAGTTGACTTGGTGAGTCTGAAGCTTATAACTCCACCCCAAACATAGCTGAGCGCAACATACTTGTATGGGCGAATATTTGACACCTCGATCAAGCTGTCGCTCTCGAGATCAATGAGTCTGAGAACTTGAAGTCTAGGGAAAGTTGACTTGAAGCCTTGATAGTTGTGGGCTCTGCATCTGGTAATGGGATGCGTTGTCGTACACGTCTCGATCCACTGCAATATCCTTGAAATCTCAACGTTTGACTTGATCGTCGGCAACAGAAAGCGAGCGCTACTCGCAACTTGTGTGGTTTCGGGCGACTCGGACACGAAACAGACAAATTGCCCTGTGACGGTGTTCGTTGAGTCGTTGATGCTGTATGCCCCGCGATGCCCGGGCTCGGCATCGTCTTTCCAGACGAGGGTAAAGGTCTCATCGTCCCCTTCAGGAACCGAACCGGGCGACAGCCTATGCGACTCGGAGATGGCATGTGCCACGAGTTGGCAGAGGGGACAGGGGCTGGTGCCGATATGAGACCATGAGCCGAGCAGGAAGAAGGGGATGGCGCCCTCAGAGGAGATGACTGAGCGAAGATCATCGTAAGTGAGGGGTACCTTGCCGCAATGCAGACAAAGCGGAGGCGGGGCAGCAGAAGACTGGTCAAGTTGACACAGCACTATTCAATGGAAGAACATACCCCAGAACAATCACAGTTGCAGGTTCTAGGCGCATCAAGTGCCATGTGCATTCCTCCTGCATACGGGCGCTTGAGTTGGGTTACTGCTTCAGGGGTACCAAATCCAAGAGCGGTTCAGCTGCTGCGACCGCCCCGCCAGACCGCTTCAGGCGGCGCCTAACGCTAGAACACCGCCACAAAGACACAGCTCGCCCCCAGCTACAACATTCTCCTCTTCGCAAACAACAAAGCATCGTCTTCCGTCTTTTGCTGACGCGAACGATTGAACTCTCAACGGAGAAGGCGACTCATCTTATTCGTGTTTTGCTACTTTGGGGCGCTACAACACACGACGAGAAGAACCAGCAGCAGCTCCCCAAGAGAGCGCGGAACATTGAAACCTAACGCAGTTGCGCTAGCGAACTTGGGCACCAAATTTTGCTCAGGCCCCCAACAAGAGTTCCTCTTGAGTACATACGCCCTGATGGTCTAGCGGTATGATTCTCCCTTAGGGTTGTCTCCGACATCTCAGTTTGGGAGAGGTCCCAGGTTCGATCCCTGGTTAGGGCCCATTTCTTTTGCTTCTTAAAGATCTCAATAATAAATTTTCTTCTCAATGCCCTAACCCGTGGTCTGGGTTAATTGTTTTGGATTTTGGTGCTGTCATGTTGCTGTGAGCCACCGCCTCTACCCGTCTCCCTCCTATAATCTTTCCCCTCACACGCCTACATAACAAATTACTTGGGTTTTGTCCGCACATATTAGGGTCAGGCAATGCAACCTGTCTTTAGGTAAGAATAGGCATCCAACTTCTAAGCAGTGCACTTTATACACATGAACTTCTGTCAATGAAGAATGGGACATGGATGACAGCTTCATGATATGGCCACTAGGAGCTGCGCCTTCACAACATCACTCAGCAACTGTGCAACATGGTTCGGATGATGAGCTAAGATTGAAAAGATCTCTAAAAAGTCAAAACTCGACCCAAGAAAAAAAGAAAAGCAAATGCAGAGAAGAACAGTGCCGTCAACTAGCTAATACATGAATCGGAACGGTGGGCTGAACGAAACAACAAATTCAAATGCGGTTCTATGATTCCCGCGCAAAAGCGGCCAACGCCATGCGAGATTTTTAGTTGCCGCCCTTGTTACCGCCGTTGTTGCCGCCTCCCTGGCCACCTCCCTGGCCGCCACCGCCGCCGTTGTTGTTGTTGTTGTTGTTCCCGGGGAAGCCTGGGATGTTGCCGAACTGGCCGTTGTTGCCGACGCCGTTCGGGCAGATCTGGCCGGCGGACTGTGCGGCCGCGAGCAGGTCGTTTTGGCTCTTGCAGTTGTTGCTGACGCAGGTGACGAGGGAGTTCACGTCGGCCTTCTGGCAGTAGCAGTCCTTGATGTTGTCTCGTGTGCAGCCGGCCTTTTGAAGGCCGTCATTGAGGCAGCCGTTGGCGCAGTCGGGCAGCTTGATGTCATCGGCGACAGCGAGGCCGGCGGCGACGGCGAGGATGGCGATAATGGAAGTCTTCATTTTGAAAGTTGGGGTTGTTCTGGTGAGGTTGTGGTGTTGTAGATGGTTTGTATAGTGAGAGATATGCGATGAAAGCTTCTTGAGTGATGTCTGAGTGTGGTGATGATGAGCTGGAAGAAAGTTGGTAAGTCGGGTGTAACGGCAGGATTATATATCTGACCTGACAATCGAGCCAAGAGAGGCCTTACGAAGGGAGTCTTCACGGCTTATTCCCCCTGACGTCAAAGTCGACATAGCCATGATCTTTTCTCAGCAACAAACGCAGTGCAGCGCCTCGCCGATTGGGCATCTCATCAGCGGTCCGCGTAATACCGTCGACTAGGTTTGACAGAAATGCCAATGCACGAGGCGCGTGGGCGGCAAACCTTGACATCTCGGACGCTTACACGGCCAGAAACCGAGAATAGTTCCATGACGAGCAAGAGATTTCTCTCGCGAACTCTGTTGCCTTTCCATACTTTCTTCCACGGCCAATCACCCACCCCAGGTTGCGTGTCCGACCTCCGGGGCACCACCGCCGCACCCAATCGCGCGCCCACCCCGTCCCGTCAAGCCGTTCGTGTCACACCGCGTCCCCGAGGTGGGAGTGGCCTTTTCGCACGTCATGAGATGAGTAGTTCCTCCCGTCGCTCGGACGGTGGAAGTCTGTCAGCTTTGAGCCGCAGCGGCGGGCTGTGCGGTGTACGCGGTGTTTGGCCACATGGGGAATGGGGGGCTGTTCAGATCATAGCGAGCTGACCGAGCACTTGCGTCTTTCCAACGGCGATGCATCGCCGTTTGGATCATCACCTTGATTTTTGTTCCTTTCATCTTCGATCGCGCGGGGCATTTGGAATGTTTTGTTTATTGAGAATGTCTGCCTTCTGTCGGCGACATCAGATGTTTGTTAGGCGTCGTGTGAGGCGTGAGGACGCTCGGGATCGCCTCACAGACCCCGTCTGCGCCTGTCCACGGACGACCAGATGACACAATCTTCGGCGTCACTCTACGTCGGCTGCCGACTTTCTGTCTCCCTTGACGTCCAAAATCAGTCTTTTTCCTGTTCTCTCGCCGACCTTAATTGTCGAATCCCCCCGATTCTGACGGGCTCGGTCGATAAGAACTACGTACGGCATGAATATAGGTCTAGGTGTTTGTCGGCCACAGACAATATCACGATATGTAGACCGAGAGCCCACGAGGTTTAAGAATTTCGTCGAGAAAAGTGATTTCTAGAAACATGCCAAGACGGCGGCGGATGTGAGCCTCCGGAGCCGATCTTCGTACTCGCCTACACGCGGCCCGACGTGTTCCTCCAATTCCTCTCAACATCAGCCAAACTTTGGGAAGAAGAATTTTTCAGCAATTCACGTCGAGCAGAAGAGACACCAAAACTTTCATTTTCTGCTACGCGTTGCAGGCTATTTTTCGTGGCTGGATCGACACGACGCGATGGAAATCGTTGAGGTTTGAGGCGTTGTAAACCCTTTCATCACACCAAACGTCGATGCCAGGCTTGACTAAATGATCTCATCGCCAGCAGCAGTATAGTAGCATGCAAGGAGCTTGTTTTTTGCAGTACTTATCGTAAAGTAACAGTGTTCTCAAAAGATGAACAGAGGTGAACGGCCTTAGATATACAAAGAATGGTCTGATAGATACTCTGCCTAGATGGTAATGGATAGCTACACTCCTGGCTTACGCCTTGCAGCAGATGGCAAGCTAACGCCCAGAATTTCTATACCGATCTTGGTGAACACTCTTCGGCAGATGGCTTTACGCTGACGTCTTCTCATGAGTTTATCACAGTAGTTAAGAGCCTACTTCAAGACCTCTTGAAGAATGAATGCTGCATGACAATCATCCCAACAGCAGTCGCCGGTCTTCATTCTGACATCGCGCAGGCAATCCGCAAGCACTCGCGTACCCAGCAAGTGCAAAGGCTCCGCATCCTTGAGTTGACAACTTTGTCATTGTGTTGGAGACTTTGTGGTCCCGAGGTAGCCACCTGTGGCAGCCCGCACCCTAGATAGGCGATGTTACCCTGTGTTGGTTTGCTTCGGAAGAGACATCACATCCAGCCAATGACCACACGCAAAATCAGTGAATTATGCGGGAATCCCCGTACGGATGCGTTCCCCTAGTTGTGCCGCCGACCTACATTCCCTAATAGTTAAAATGCATGCCGGCTACCCTGTCCTGACCCTCGCGTTGGACCCCACCGCGTTGCATCGTTCCTCGGCTCACGATGGCATCCCTCGTATCTTCAGTTTCTTAAAAAGCAGTTTTCGCAACGCATCTTTCTTGCCCGTGGGACGAAGAAAATGTACTTGAATGGCGAAATCACAATCACGTATCATCTTCTCAACTGTCAGAAGCAAAGTGTCTCAAATAACCTGGCAACGAGTCCAGCTTACGATGTATCTGCTCCCATTGATGGGGCATCTTCCATGCAACCCCTCTGCGAGTCCCGCCGCGCATGCGTCAATCATTGCCTCATGCCGTCTCCATCTCCGGACAAGATGCCGGGCACGCGGCGGGGAGGTTCACCGTGCATGAGGCCAATAGTGGCCTGCTTATTAGAGTTACCCTTGCCAGGTCCCTTGGCGGGAGGAAGAATAAAGGAAACGAGCTCCCTCGGGGAGAACTTTGTCACGGTACCCGTCATCGTCGTGCTTGGCGTCATTCACAAAGATGGCAGTACTCAATCTATCCGTGGGCGGGAGCCCTGCGGAGATTGGGCTTCGCGCCGTTCTGCTGCTCGTAGTTTTCAGTGTCGGCTACACTTTGGTGCAACTCGTGCAAGTACGGCTCCTGTTCTGGAGACTGAAGAGACAGGGCGTCGTAAGTTGAACCACCCGAAAGTCGCTTACCAGGAACAGCACTGATGATCTCACAGCCAATGATGCCCCATTCCCTACTCTTCGGGCACATACCTGTCATCACAAAATTCACATCCGGCCTGCCCAAGGATATTCACACAAACTACTTCTCCCAGCTCATCTACCAGAACTGGCCGACCCTCTTCCCCGGTCGCAAAACGTGCCCGCCCATCATCTACGTCGACCTCTGGCCTATGGGCCCGCCCATGTGCTTCACCATCGAGCCGGAGGTCGCTTGGCAGACCGGCAGCGCAGATCTTCCGCGGGCGCACAAGGAGTTCGTCAAGCCGCTGACGGAGAACCTGGATATTGCGAGCCTGGAAGGCGCCGAGTGGAAGGTCTGGCGCGCGCGATTCAACCCGGCCTTCAGCCCGAAGAACATTGTCTCGCTCGTCCGGGGCATCATCAAGGACGTTGAGACGTTTGCGGGCATCTTTCGGAAAAATGCTGGCAAGGACGGGAAGTGGGGCGAGGTGTTTACGCTCGAGGACCTGGCGACGAATTTGACGATGGACGTGATCGGGCGCGCGGCGCTGGGGATCGAGCTCCACGAACAGACTGATGGCCCGAGCAAGTTGAAGGTCGCGCTGATGGACCAGATTGCGCAGTGCCGGCTGCGGTTCAGCATTATCGACAAGATCTGGAGCGTCGACCCCATCCGTCAGTGGAGGATTGCCAGGAACAAGGCTGCGCTGCGTGACGAGCTTTACCAACCCATCATGAGATGTCTCGAGCGCAAGGGCGACGGAGAATCAAAGACGCTGGTGGACCAGGCGATGAAGCCTCTCAAGGGCTTGATTGCCGAGAAGGCGCTCCCACCTGATGAGGGCTTCATCGAAAGTGTCATGGCACAGCTTAAGGTCTTCATGTTTGCAGGCCATGATACGACGGCGACAGTGATCTGTTGGACGATACACGTCTTGGCCAAGCACCCAGCGATCCTCGACAAGGTACGAGCCGAGCATGACGAGGTTTTTGGCAAGGATCCTTCAAAGTTGAAGGAAAGACTAATGGAATCGCCGCATCTCCTGAACTCGCTGCCGTACACGGCTGGCGTGATCAAGGAGACGATGAGGCTGTATCCCGTCATTCCGCCCCTTAGAAAAGGCAGCCCTGATTACCAGATCAAGGACAAGGAAACCGGCATGGCGCTGCCGACTGAGCACTTTGACCTCTGGGACG